TACCGCGCCAGGGATTCTTCAAGGAAATGGCATGAGAGAGCTCTGGTTCCTCCCTCCAACCCCTCACAGCAAATCCCACCCGGCACAGGGCAGCCCACTCGGTAGCTCCCCACAATACAGGTCAGAGCAGGAGAAGGGAAAACCTGGACTGAGGGCAAGAGAGTCCAGGATGGCCCCACCTTTCCTTCCCTGCTTTTCAGGTCCAATACACAGACCTGGAGGGGCAGACCTGTCAGCCGGACATCTTACTAATACACAGGTTCCGACTTTGGAGCCTGCACTTCCAACCAGCGCGCAGACGATACTGATGCTGCTGGCCCAGGAGCCACACACAGAGCAGGAAAACCTAACTGACCCCAGGGACGAACCAGACCATAATCAACAGGAACGTGGCCACATTCCTTCCGAGGATGAAGAACACAGTCGTATATGAGCCTTTCAAACGGTAATGAGGAAAAAGGATGGAATGCACAGCCAGGAGCTCCAGCCAAGGACTGCTGCCGCACAACACCGCGCGTCACCTTCCCCACCAGCTCACCAGGTGTGTGCGGGGCATGGTTGTTGGGAGCTGAAATGTGTCTCCCCAAAGTTCAAACGCTGAACCCCTAAGCCCCAGTAACTCAGGATGTGGTTGATTTCGGAGATATAGCCTTTAAAGAGATAATTATGTTATAAAAGAAGCCATGAGGCTAAGCCCTAGTCCAATCTGACCAATGTCTTTATAAGAAAAGGAGATTAGGCCGCAGGCACACAGAGAGGCCACATGCGGCCCAGAGGGCAGGCAGTGCTCATAAGCCAAGGAGAGGGCGAGTCTTCAGGACAAGCCAACTCCAGTGAGACCTTGATTTTGGTCTTCTAGCCTCCAGGACTGCAAGCAAATAAATGTCTGCTGCTTAAGCCTCAAGTCTGTGATGTTCTGTTATGATAGTCCCAGCAAACTAATATAAAGATTTTGTTTTAGTTCCTTGATACTCCTACCAGTAACTTTTCACTATATGCCTGCTCTGTGAGAAACAGTTGAGTTTCTAGGAGCTGGTACACAGAATGATCAAGACACAGTCCGAGCCCAGGTCCTGCTTCTGCTTAGAGGGAGAAAAAACGAGGATCACCAAACTCCAGTGATGATGAATGCTGGGAATGAGGCAGAACCAAAAGCCTTTACAAACGCCAGAGGAAAACAAAATCATTCCATCTGAAAAGTGGGAGAGAAGAGGGATCAGAAAGAGCTTCATGGTGGGTTTTGATGGGCATGGGAAGGGGAGGACCTGAGATGACACAGCAGCGCAGGCACACGCCGGGAGACCCCCAGAACCCAACACCCAGCGAGGACAGGGACCCACGAGGCATCTGGCCAGGTGGGCACAGGGCAGGGGGAGACCAGGAGCTAAAGGCAGATGGAACTATGGAACTGGGAAGGAGCTCAGCGCCTCTGGGGACCAGCAAGGGAGTCTAGACTTTAATTTCTAGAAATGAAGATTAATGAAAATGAGGAAGGTACATTAATAGGCAAAAGAACGGATAAACCGCGTGAACTGTAGAGGATGATAAAGCCCGCATTACTGCCCACCTAAGAAATGTCTCTTCAAGGTCAACACACTTCACACTGTCATCAGCTACTTGCATCATAATCCCGAGCACTTTATCAGCTCTTGCCTCATGACCTTAGATACAAGGAAGAGGTGCCATCCACCCTGACTTTCAAGCTAAGGATAAATGACACAACCCACGAGTGACTCAGGAGAACTGAAGCCTGAGATGCAGCTGGAAGGTCCAAGCCCCAGGATCGTGCAATTACCACCATGGCGTCACCTGCCCAGCTGCAAACACCCAGCATCTCATCAGAGCACCTTTCACCCCCTCTTCACCCCACTCAACACGCCTGCCTCTTGACTCTTCACTCATCCCCAGCACGGAAAGCCCCAGACCAGATCACAAAGAAGGGGGCGAAGTCACTCCTTGGTTTCCGAGCATCTGAGAGCTCGGGAAAGAAAAGACCACAAGGCTGGCTCTGAGAGTGCCAAGAGGCACTGGAGCATCCTGCATTGCCCTTCAGTCCCCCAGACTTCACCCTCCGTCTCCTCTCCAAAGGCCTCTCCTTGGATGTTCAGGATTCAGGGCTTGCAAGGGGCAGTACTGACAAGTTGCCAGAGTCAACGACCAGCGCTATGGTGAAGATGATCCTGGGAATCTACTGCCTCACTGGGCTCATCTCTAGGAACAAGCAAATGCAGCGGAAAAACAAGGTCCCAGAATTGAAGATTTGTGTTTTAACAGGGGCACACGTCGATTAAACCACTGATCTCAAAGCAAGATTACACCTTTATATCCTTGCCACGGCCCCGTGGGTGAAATACACTTCTCCCTCCTTGACTTTCTGTTCAGACTTTCCATCATGATATGAGCAGACGCTTGAAATGTGCTTGCAAGACCAAGTGTGCCTGCTTCTACATTGGCCATGACCACGGATCATGCCTAGGACAACCAGCCAGTCCCAGAGAATGACAGACAGGCCTGAAACCCACCCGCAGCCTGGATCCAAGCCCAGCCAGACCAGCCAAGCAGCCAATGTGCACAGGCACGAGGGACAATGCGCGCTGTTTTAAGCCACTGGACTGGAGTGGGTTCTCTGTAGCATGACTGGAACAAGAGCTGATGAAGGAACCAGTCGGGCAGCAAAAATACCAGGAAGAATCACACACTGAACAGACACGAACTCATCGCAAAGCAATCTCTTTCCCCATCAGTTTCCAAAGAATGTTTTCAAAAGTATCTAAGTAGCCCTTTTCTTCACCTCAGCCCTCAGGCACTGTCTTCCAATAAGAGATGAAGACAGCTCTTAAAACACCAAACGTGAGCAGAAAGCAACTACGGGTTTAAAACACAGACACCAGCAAAGAGATCTAAAAAGGGCTTGCCGGGTCAAAAGAAGGGAAAAATCTGAAACATCATGAGCCCTTCTCATAACTTTCAACACTGAGCACATAACACCTCGTTAGTCTTCTCATCTTAAAAGTTAATAAAAAATAAAAATAGTAAGATTTATGAAAAACAGAGTTGGAACTGGAAGAGGATTTATTTAGCTTCAGGGTCCACAATAACATTTGGAAAAAAAAGCATTAGATAAGGTTCAGGGGTTCACCATGGTGAACAGTGTGGACAGCTCTGCAGGGCTGTTATAAAACCCCCAGCACAGTGACGAGGAGAGACCCCGCAGAAAGGGTGGGCTGGCATCTTCGCATTCACTGCTGCACTGCCTCCTATGCTATAAGGCACAATATATACCGATGGCTTTGCAAATAGCAAATGACTTGATTTCTCTTTTCCTTATGTACAGCGAACTTTAGTCCTCTCTCTCAGGCAAATTTGCTGAGGAAAGCATACATCGTGCCATGAATAGTCCAATGATAGGGCTTCTTAACACTGGGGCTGTGACCCCAACACCTCCAAGTGGGCGCGACAGAGACGATGATGAACAGTCTCATCTCTGCCCGTGCTTACTCCCACCCAACTCTTCAGAAATGCCACTGAAGTCTTTGCTCAGTTTTCCTGCACGAAAACCTCTCGACAAAACAAATGCTGAGAAAGTACCTTAAAATAACATGACGCTATCATCATCATCGGGAGGAAAGAAAAGAAAGTCTGGATGCAGAAGCCTCACTTACTGCATCCCTTTTCACAGCTGGAAAGAATGTCTCTGGGACCACCATGACCCACGGCCACTGAGGACTGCAGCTCAACTCTGCTTGTGAGAAATAAGCATTGTATCCCCCAGAGCAGGCCAGGCTGCCTACGTGGTACAAGGAAGCTTTACATAAGATGACGCTGACCCCACTCTCAGAGCGAGTAACTCAGTGGCTATTCCAGGCCTTCAAAAGTCCCCCCTTCAACCCTGTGCGAAGGTCACCTCCTCACGTGAAGGCCATCCAAGTCAGGGTTCTGCAAAGACACACAGCTAAACTTCATCATCCTACCAATATTCAAGGGAGGCCTCAGTCCTTTGGGAAAGTTTTACCTCCACAGATCTTTAAAAAAACCCCGGATTCAGTAATCATCTCTGAATCGCCCTGTCTCATGTATAAGGACAGACAGATGCTATCAAAGTGTGAAATTCCAGGCTGAACCTCAAACCTGACGTGGCTGATCCTCCACAGATGACACAAGTTTCCTACCAACTCAGCAAAAAAATGGGACCACAAAGAAACGTGTATTTTGAAGCATAAAGTATGAAACATGGAAGCTATTACTGACATCTTTTCACCATGAATCTTGCCAAAAATGCAGCCCATCATTGCCTAGCCTTTAAGACACACAGGAGAAAAAAATTCCAGAAGGAAATTACTAGTTGAGAAACTTCTGAAGTCTAGCATGCTACACACATACTCTGCAGTATTGCCAAGGGAAGTATTTTTTGTGTGTGTAATTCATTTTTTTTAACTGGAAGATAAGTACTTTACACTATTGTGATGGTTTTTGCCATGCATCGCCATCAACATGAACCAGCCACAGGCATCCACGTGTCCCCTCTCTCCTGAACCCCGTTCCCACCTCCCTTCCCACCCCATGCCTCCAGGCTGTCACAGAGCACCAGCTCTGGGGGCCTTGCATCACACATCAAACTCCCACTGGCTATCCATCTTACAATTTTAAAAACATATTGCTTTTATATTGGGTTTAACAAAAGGCAGAAAGACAAAGTGGGAGCTCTTGAATATTAAATGGAATTTAACATCTGTTGAGCCAAAAATGGAAAAAACTCCACAAGTGAGAGTGAATGCCTTAAGTACGAGCATCATCTCTAAACACACAGCTTTAATGACTAATAGTTCCCTTTTCTGTTTCTTTAAAATCAACCAGAGTCCCAACCCCCCAAAAGTCACTACCCAGTTCCACTGACCTTACCTTAAGCGAAGCACACAACTGCCATATTTGACGGAGAAAGAAAAGAGTTTACCTACTGAAGCAAGCACAGTAAGATTATGACACCTTTTTACAGTCCTTACTTTCAAAATATTTTGGGTTTCATTCCACTTATTTGTCCATTCCTTGGTCAATTCTTGAACCTAAAAGAAAAAAACATACATACGTCATTGCTCTATTAAAAAAATTACTGTGATTTTCTTTTAGAAAGTTTTCAAACTTTTATAGATTATAAAAGAACGTATTATACTTTTTTAAATTAGACACCAATGCCTCAAAGTACCATCACCAAATATAAATCAAACAAGCTGATCTCACCCTACAACCTACATTACCACAAAGGAAAGAACAGAAAAAAATTTGTCAAGTTGTGTAGAGCTTTACAGCAGTCTTTTTCAAGGTGTACTTAAATAAAAGCTGCTTCCTTGGATATTAACCAAAACTACAAGGTCAAAGATGCCACCATCCCATTAAATGGGGTAATTTTTCCTGATTATACTTTAGGTCCTAAGATATGGTGATTTACTTTACTTTCTAATTAGATGTGATGATTAAATCACCTTGGAAACCATTTTCTTTTAGGAGATAATCTGTTTTTGTAGCTAATTAATAGGGTTTATAAATCTCATTTTATCTTTTTTTTTAAGGTGGCTCTTTAATTGACTCTTAGTAAAGGTAAAAATATCTTTTTGATAATAATCAGCTTCTTTCCAGTCTGCAGTAACTTAAGGGAGAAAATATCCCCCACTGTCGAACACAGCACAGTTGGAAATAGCTTCTCAGTTAATGAAAATACTCTGCTAGTTCCACACAACTTTTTAAATGACCTAAGTGAGTGATTCATTAAGAAGTAAAGTGATACCTGATTGAGAGGTAGAAAAAAAGAATGGAAAATTCTGTCAAAAGCAACATACTTCGGATTAAGAGAGTGACCTCCGAGGGGCTGGGGGGCACGCGGGGCGCATACCCCTCTGCTCTGGCCTTCAGTGTTCCTGCCACCTCCCACCCCAGCAGCAGACGCCACCCCAGGCCACCTGACTGGTCTCCCTACCAGTAAGTTACCCTGTTCAACCAGGTCAAAGTGGAAGCACAGAATACACTGGATTACATGCTCAACGCTAAGAAGAAGATACTTTCCACAGGCCATTAAGTATCATAAACGGACGTGAGTCAGAAACCTTCAAGAAAGGGCGTGTTCATTACTGACAAAAAAGGAGGGACTGGAGTGGTAGTTTATCCGAGAGCAAAACCAAAACACCTCTCACTCACCTTGTTCATTCAATGGCTAGACATTTTACACCTCAATTTACCGCAAACACCCTGGAGAAGGAAATGGCAACCCACCCCGGCATTCTTGCCTGGAGGACCCCATGGACAGAGGAGCCTGGTGGGCTGCTGTCCTTGAGGTCGCTAAGTTGGCCATGGCTGAGCGACTGAACACTTACCGCAAATAACTACAGGAGTTCTAAGGTAGCATTTTTTAAAAAATATCTTCCTTAAAATGAGACAAATAAACTTATTTACAAAACGGAAATAGACTTTTAGAGAAGGAGAATGAACTCAGGATTGCCGGCGGGGGCGAGAGAGGAGGGTGGATAGTTAGGGAGCTTGGGAAGGACATGTGCACACTGCTGTGTTTAAAATGGATAGCCAGAAGGACCTACTGCACAGCACTGGGACTCTGCTCGATGTTATGAGGCAGCCTGGCTGGGCGGGGGTCTGGGGAGGATGGATACATGTACACGTATGGCCGAGTCCCTTTGCTGTCCACCTGAAACGACCACAACGTTGTTAATCAGCTATACCCCAATACAAAATAAAAGCCTTTAAAAACATATCTTCTTTAACTGGGCTTCCCTGGTAGCTCAGCTGGTAAAGAATATGCCTGCAATGCAGGAGACCCCAGTTCAATTCCTGGGTTGGGAAGATCCCCCTGGAGAAGAATAGGCCACCCACTCCAGTATTCTTGGGCTTCCCTGCTGGCTCAGACTGTAAAGAATCTGCCTGCAGTGTGGGAGACCTGGGTTCGATCCCTGGGTTGGAAGGATCCCCTGGAGGAGGGCATGGCAACCCACTCCAGTATTCTTGCCTAGAGAATCCCCACAAACAGAGGAGCCTGGTGGGCTACAGTCCATGGGGTCACAAAGAGTCAGACACAACTGAGTGACTAAGCGCACACACACACCTTCTTTAACTAGTCATTAATGTCAAATCTAGCATCCTCTTAGTAAGAGAATAAACAGGACTGAGCCTCTCTACTTTCTTTTTTGCTCACTAGTACTTGTCAGGCAAGGCTGTCCTGCCCGCCCCCCTGGGCCAGCCACACACACAGGCTTTCCTTTCATCACTCAAGTGACGCCAGCCCCATGGGTCACAGGGCTTTTTGTAATGGAAAAGTTTTCGGAGAGGGAATATTCCTACCCCTTCTCTCCCTACAGACGTAGAAGAGACTGGGGTGATGAATTTACTAATTTATAATAATCAGTTAACAGGTTCTCATTGGCAATTTATCTGAGAAACACCAAGTATTTAACAAAGTATGCTCTGGGATTTCACCAACAGGTAAGTTCTCCCTGAAGAAATGTAAGCCAATTAATCCTTTTCCAATTCAATCAAATAATTCCAGCTTTCGAAGAACTGTAAGTATGCCTTGGGTTTCTTTTACCACTGAATTTAAACCAAATAATCTTCATTTTTAAAATTCAGGAAAAAAATGCAAAGTCTGACAGCACCTCTCACAATGTGACCAGGTGATAAAATTTAGAGCCAAGTGCATGGCAAACAATTTTAAGAGGTCAGCAAAAGAAGACATGAAAATTTAGAAAATGCTATTAACAAGAGTCATGTCTGTCCCCACATGTATCACAATTCAAATTAAAAGGTTTAAAAAAAAATTAAACTGTTTATTGGTTTCTATTAACTTGCTAGGTATTCCTGAAAACTATCAGTAAGAAATAATTTAAGACTATATCCAGACATATCAAGGGTTTCCCTGGTTGCTCAGATGGTAAAGACTCTGCCTGCAATGCAGGAGACCTGGGTTCAATCCCTAGGTCAGGAAAATGCCCTGAAGAAAGAATGGTCAGGAAGATGCCCTGAAGAAAGAATGGCCCTGAAGAAAGCATCCTTGCCTGGAGAATTTCATGGACAGAGGAGCCAGCAGGCTAAGATAGTCCATAGGATAGCAAAGAGTTGGATACGACTGAGAGATGAACATGCACAATCCGGACACATCAAAGTCCTCAAAATTAAAATTCAAAGTACCAAAATATAAAACGTCAAGAGAAAAATAGGGATTAAGAAACTAACGCTTTCACTAATGCTATTATCAGCAAATTAATCAGCATAATTATCCATAATTATCCAGAACAAGTTCCTAACTACACTGTGATTTTTATTTCTTCAATATTGTGTATTCTTGAAAGAGCTTTACCAACAGAATCCTACTTTCTTTCTCAATCTGCTTTAACCATTTGGCACAGTGAACAAAATCCACTCTGAAAACATTATTAATACCTGTTTCTCTTTTCACAGAAGGTCTTTTTCTTTTAAAAAGGGGGGGAAAAAAAGACAGTATAGAAGCAGGTCATCCATGAAACTAGTTTTCAGAAAGCACCAGCACATAATACTGGCTTCAGCCCAGGAAACTCTCTCTTCCAACCTCAAATCCCACTTTGCTTAAGAGCAGCTAAGCACCTTCCCAGAGTATTCAGTGATTCCCTAAGTGCTGCAATTCCCACTAATAAGCAAAAGGATGACCAAAACAGCCCACGGTGAGGCTGTGGGGACCAGCATGTGAACACAGCCTCCCTCTCCTGAAGGTCCACTAGCCTCACCGCCTCGCGCAATGGCCCATTCTCAGCTGCATTCAACCCTTGACTACCAGACAAACCCATCTATTTAGTCACAGAGGACACGGGAGGTACACCGGAAGTCAACGAGTGTGGGTCTTTAAAGCTCGGGCGGGAGTGTTAACTGTCATGAAGAGAGAGACTGAGTCTCAGACAGCAAGTCCTGGGCTGCCCAAAAAGTTTGTTTGGGTTTTCCTGTAACGTCTTGTGGAAAAACCTGAACAAACTTACTGGCCAACCCAATACTAAAAAAGAATCCACTTAAAATAGTGAAACTCACGATTAAAAAAAAAAAACAAAAACAAGTGAAGGTGTCACTTACTCTGGCTTCGTTCTGCTGAAGTTTCTCCTCCATACTTAAGGCTGTGGGGGAGTCCAAGAGGGCAATCTGCAATCAAACCACAAAAAGCAGCGGCGATGAGTGTACACCGATAATCCAGAGGAAGAGTCTGCCCTGACACTGTAAATCATCAAAAACTGCCACATAAACTATTAAATAGAGGTGAAAAGCATTTATTTTCCCACACCTCCTCAAAAGTGTTAGTCACCACAAAATCTTTAATCCGCAGGGTACATGCCTCGTAATATTCAAAAAACCACAGCATCCTGGTAAAACTACATTTGCAACACGAATCAGCAAAGACAAGGAGAAAGACAAACACGTAGCCGGCTGACATGTTATCAAAACCACACGCAGTCTAACCCCCGGGTCCTGAAGAAGTCACCCGTTCTCAATGTGTACAAAGGACAGTCCAAAAGCGGGTTATCCAACCAGAGGCTTCTGAGACCCATCCACACTGACGCGTGCAAATGGCCCTCCTTTACCACCCACCACTGCTGGGTCACACCCTGTCACAGTACGGCTGGGCCACCGTCTGCGTGTCCATTTCCTCTCCTGTGTTGCAAAGATGAGTGTGAGAGTGATAAACCCCAAAATCGGGTTCACCCTGGGCGGGCGAGGCAAGGCAGGGACGGGAGAGGGAGACCCAGCCAGGCAGAGCGCACCCGGGCTTTGACTGCATTCGTAACCCACAACCCGAGAGGCAGGAACGCAGGGTCCCGGACGACGTTACCGGAAAGGAAAACGGAAGGGGGTCTCGCTCCCTCTCCCCCTCTCCAGGCCATGTGCAACCTGTCTCACCCATTCTGCTACATAACTGTGCAGTTATTCTGGTCATATGCAAGTGCGTTTGTGTTGTTTTTCAAACATAAACAGTATGAATGCTACTCTGAATATTGCCTTTTTCATCTCACAATCTATCTTGGGAAAAATTCATTACAAATAAATCTATTTTATTCTTTGTAACAACTCCAGTTTCACTGTACAGCACTCCATTGTGCGGTTATTCTACAATTTATGTCCACAGTTTCCTCTTAATGGACTGGCAGTTTTTCCTCATCTTCTGCTTTACCAGTGATGCTACAGTGCCTATCTTATACCAACCGCCTACAGTATGCATAGCAGTATCAACAGAATAAATTCCCAGAAGAGAATGTGTTAATCATCTACACGCATGACTTTTTTCATTGTCTCTCCTCCACGGAGGCTATCACATTTCCTTGACTACCTGGTCTGCTTTTGGCCACCTTCACAAACACGCTATCACCTAGCTTTACTGTGACCCTCCCGGAGATGCTGTCTACCTTGAAAGTTTACACGTAATGACACTTTTATTATCCAGCTATTATTCAAAGTTTACCTGTGGCTTCAGCTACACAAATGAGAAATCTTTTCTCATTCCATCTTCTCTAACTCATGCCTTCTTTGCTTCCTGGACTGCTCCTGCCTATTTCTATGTTGTTAATTTTCCTGCTATCTTCAGACACATTTAAGAGAGAAAAGTTAATGGACATTTTCTCTCTGCCAAACTCAAAGCAGAAGTCTGAAAAGATGCTTTAAATATAACAAAAGAGAACATGTGAAAAGAGAAGATATCTAAATGCTTGACTTCATTAATCATTGGAGACACAGAAACTACAATCATTCTTTGATACCATGATGCTGCATCAGAATGGTCTATGATGAAAAAATAAGTAACACCAGCTATTGGCAAGGACCTGATGCAACTAGAACTGACACATTCATATATTAATGGTGGGATATAAGTTGGTATAAAAACCTTTAAAAATTATTTGGCAGTTATCTACTAAAACCAAACATTATGTACCCCTTCTGACACAAATTCCACTCTTAGGTATAAACTTAACAGAAATGAAGCTGGATGTTCACAAAAAGACACACAGAAGACAGTCCACAGCAGCAACAATAGCAGCAAAGAGAAAATCTCCAAAGCCCATCAAACAGAACTGGTGAGCGGGCGCACACTCGTATGATGGAACACAGCACAGCGATGATCATACGTGGATCTGAAACCACACGTCCCACCGTGGATGAATCTCACAAGGCCTCAGATGCAAGCTGCCCACATCATCCGGTGCCCAGCACACTCCCGCCAGCCCCATGAGGCCCCTCAGTCTGTCCTCTCACTTTCACTTTTCCCCTCGTCCGTCAGTCCTGCTGCTGCCTGCACTCCGTCACCTCCCCAGCCCGTACCACAGGCCAGCACCCTTGCATGTCTGGAACTTTATGAAACGGGTTTTGTAGGTCTACGTTTTGAAATCCCATAAATTTGATCTTATATAAAAGCAAGAACAAGAGTATTTACTACATGATTACATTTATATAAAGAACAAAATGAGGCAAAACTAAAAACTAACCCTGCCTGAAGAAGTCAGGATAGAGGTTATCCTTGAGGGATGGGCAAGCGGGGCTAGGAGAGGAATGTGAAGAGAGTTTCCAGGGCACTGGGGAACATTCTGTTTCTTGACAGGAATGCAGGTCAGATGGGTGAATACAGCTTATGAAAATTCACAGATACATACACTCAGAATGGGTGTCATTCTTCAATGGAGAGTTCACATGGATGTATATATGCATATATACCACTACATATTTATCTGTCTATAAATCTATGCAGCAGGAGAAGCAGATACGTGTCAGAATCTTTTGCTGTATTAACTATGTTTTTGAAACTCATATACGTGGCATTTTGCATTGGCAAATAATTAAACATAAAATTATTAAAAGCAGGAGGTTTTGGGGAAGGAGCCAAGATGACAGAGGAATGGGACGGGGAGACCACTTTCTCTCCTACAAATTCATCGAAAGAACATTTGAATGCTGAGCAAATTTCACAAAACAACTTCTGATCGCTAGCAGAGGACATCAGGCGCCCAGAAAAGCAGCCCATTGTCTTCGAAGGGAGGTAGGACAAAATATAAAAGATAAAAAGGGAGTCAAAAGAGCTACGGACGGAGACCCGTCCCGGGAAGGGAGTCTTAATAGAGGAAGTTTCCAATCACCAGGAAACCCTCGCACTGGCGGGACTGGGGGAAGTTTTCGGCAATCTAACTGGGAGGAAAAATTAAACAAGGCCCACAGATTACGTGCCTAAAAGCAACTCCCAGCAGAAAAGTACCCCAGACGCCCGTACCCGCCAGCAACAAGCAGGGGCGGGACGGAGAGGAGCGGGCGGCATTGCTTAGGGTAAGGACTGGCCCGAAGACCCTGAGAGCAATCGGAGGGAGCTTTTTAAACTGTGGGATAGCAAGGGTCAAAATTAACAGGCCCGAACACACTGCCGGCGGTTGGCAAAACAAAGGGACTGAGAAAGTCCAGAGAAGAGCCGGCCCATCCCCGCTGGAGGTTGGAGGCAGGGGGGAGGGGAAAAGGGCAAACTCAGCCCCTGAGAAGCCACCCCCTCCCACACTGCAAACAGGCCCCCGGTTCCTATCTGAAGACTTCCTGAGACCCGACTGGCGGCGCGCGCTGGGGCCGCGGAGGGAAAAAGCGCGCCGTATCCGGAGAGAGTGCGCCCAAGCCTCTGGCTGCCTGAGCCGCTCGCCGCGGAGGGAAAAGGCGCGCCGCATCCGGAGAGAGTGCGCCCAAGCCTCTGGCTGCCTGGGCCGCTCGACACGGAGGGAAAAGGCGCGCCGCATCCGGCGAGAGTGCGCCCAAGCCTCTGGCTGCCTGGGCCGCTCGACACGGAGGGAAAAGGCGCGCCGCATCCGGAGAGAGTGCGCCCAAGCCTCTGGCTGCCTGGGCCGCTCGCCGCGGAGGGAAAAGGCGCGCCGCATCCGGGGAGAGTGCGCCCAAGCCTCTGGCTGCCTGGACCCCTTGACGCGGAGGGAAAAAGCGCACCTTACCGGGGAGAGTGCGCCCAAGCCTCTGGCTGCCTGAACCGCTCAGGCCGGGGAAGGCACAAAACGCAGGCGCAACCGAATCCGCGCTTTTGTGGAGTACCCGAAAATTGGAACCGCACTCAACACAGGGCCCGCTCCATATAGAGCAGCCGGGAGCCTGAGCAGTGTAGACGGCAAAAGCACTGACACCCGTGAGCGGGACAAACCCAGTGTGACCGGAACACGGTGAGTGCTATCCACACAGAGCGGTATCTGTCTGCAGCGCCCCGCCCTCCCCGTAGCAGGACTGAACTGAACTAGAGAACCTAAATAAGAGATCACCTCCACCCGCCTGTGTCAGGGCGGAAATTAGACACCAAAGAGACGGCAAACAGAAGCCAAATAAACAAAGGGAACAGCTTCAGAAAGGACTGCTGCAACAGATTAAAATCCCTGAAGGTAACACCGACTACACCAGAAGGGGCCTACAGATATCGAGAAGTGTAAGCTGGAAAGAGGAGCTATCTGAAATCGAACTGAACCTACGCTGACTGCAACAACTCCAGAGAAATTCCTAGATATATAGATATATTTTTTTTAATTAAAAAAAAATTTTTTTTTTCTATCCTTTTTTTAATTTTTTTTTATTTTTTCTCTTTTATTTTCTTTTAAAATTCCCTATTACTCCCCCATTACTCCTCAACTTTCATTTTCATATATTTTTACGATTTTTTTAATTAGGGAAAAAAAATTTTTTTTTCTTTTTTTTTCTTTTTCTTGTTTTTCTCTCCTATTTCCTTTTAAAGTCCTCTAATACTCCTCTATTATTCCTTAATTTTCATTTTCATTTCACTATAACCTTGCCAAAAAAAAAAAACAAGAGAGAGAGAGAGAAAAACTCTATTTTTAAATCAAACTTCATATACATTTCTAAATTTTTTTGTGTTTTTGTTTTTAAATATTGTATTTCAAAGAGTCTAACCTCTACACTAGATTTTTAATCTTTGTTTTTCAGTAGTATGTGATATAAATTTTGGTCATTTAAGAATCCAATATTCAGTTCCCATTTCTATTCAGGAGTGTGGTGATTACTCTCCCACTTTTGACTCTCTGTTTTCTACCTCGGAACACCTCTATTTCCTCCTTTCCCCTTCTCTTCCCAATCCAACTCTGTGAATCTTTGTGGGTGTCTGGGCTACGGAGAAC